TATATATATATATATATATATATATATATATATATGTATTGTACAGTATATACACATTCATATAACATATATATATATATATATATATGACATAGGTGTATTTTCTACAAAAGTACACTATAAAATACTATGATATTAATACTATTGATACTACTGTCAACCAAGTGGGCAGATCACAAATATCACCATCGTCTTCAAAGCCGTGCATTATTTGATCAAACACATCAGTAATCAAACAACAGCAAAACTGTTTAATTCTATTGCATCCGATTCCCAGAGGTTCTGATATTTGGGCGCAGATGCGGAATATAATTCAGAACTGTAATTATAATATTTGTGATGGAAGGACACAGCTGCAGAACTCATCAGGATTCGTGATGTCACGAAGAATAAAACTAAAACCATTAAACAAAATTATTACTTGAAATAAGTGTTAACTGAAATAATATAAATTATATTAAAAAAAAAATTAGGCAAGGCAACATTTCTTATTTAGTTTAACTTACTAAAATATCTAAAACTAAAATAAAAATTATAGAGACATATTTATAACACCAAAAATTAATCAAAAAATATATTTAAAAAAATTAAAAATAAAATTAAATTAGAAAATATAAAAATGTATTTAAAATATGAATTAAAAAAAGATATTTCAATAATAAACACACGGAAGTGCATAACAACTTTATATCACATTTGCATTTTCTAATTTCACTTTGATGCACTTTTGTTCTTCTCAGCAGGTTAATAAATCAAAGCAAAACAGAACAAAGAGAGATTCACTCACATGCAGTCAGTCAGACCTGCATATTAACATCTGTCCAGCCTGTGATCTGCAGCAAGTCGCAGACAACTCACCTTCAAAACATTCATAAAGGAGTGCATATTAGCAGCTAATCTGAGTCCCATTAATCCCAGATTCTAGTCTAATCCTCAGAGACGACTGCAGAAGAAAGAAAGAGTTCATCACTAATTAACCAGCAGAGAAACAACATGACAGAGATGTGAACGATCAGATCTGCTTAGTGTTTTCTTAATATCTCAGGAGACTTAAAATGACTTAAAATACAACAAAACAAGCATTAAACTCAGCTAAAAACAACTACAGCTCAAATATATTTCTTATTTTAATTCATCCCTTCAAAAACAACCAGGATTCTCACAATCTAAACATTTTTAGACCTGGAAAATCTACGGGCTTTTGTGTAATGAATATACTTATTTTTATACAATAATTTTTATTGGATAGAATTTTTATTATTTTTAATAGTATAAATTAATGATGTTTAAAAAAATGATACTTTTTAAAAATATAACAAATGAAATATTAAAATATTTTAAGAATTTTTATTATTTTTAATAGTATAAATTAATGATGTTAAAAAAATTATACTTTTTACAAAATATTAAAAATTAAATATTAAAATATTTTTTACAATATTTTTAATCCTTATCCAGTAAATAATGAACAACTGGAAAAGTCATGCAAATTCATTGGTTAAAAAGATTTCTAGTTCTGAAAAAAAAAATCATAGAAATGAATAAAATCATAAAACGCTATGCATCTGTAGTATAATTAATATACTTTTTTATACCAAGTTCTAAAATATTTTATTGGATAGAAATTAGTATTTTTTTTATTTTAAAAATATGAACATATTAGATTTTAATATTATAAATGATTGATATCATGTTTTTTAATATAAAAAATAAAATATTAAAATATATATATTTTTAAATATTCTTAATCCCTATCCAGTAAATAATGAACAACTGGAAAAGTCATGCCAAATCATTGGTTAAAAAGACTATTAGTTCTGGAGGGGGAAAAAGGCTATGCATCTGTTTAACGAATATACATTTTTCTATGCCAGGTTCTAAAATATTTTAATATTTTATTGGATAGAATTTGAGTTTAAAAAAATATATATTTTATTTTTTAATAATATAAATATTTAGATATTTTTAATAAATATTAAAATGTAAGCAAAGTGCAAATAATTCAGAACAAGTCTTTAATAAAGTCACGATCTCATTTGCCCTGAAAGCATTTGTGCATTAAGTCTTTCAGGATTGTCAAGCAACTTGCCACATCATGAATGTGCATCACAGGTGTGTTTATATACTGTACATCCTGAACTGTCAGCTTCATAGTCACAGATCTGAAACATGGTTCCAAACATGGATGCATTCTATTAAATTAATGCCTTGATAAATCCTATTTATTAGTCTGAACTGTGCAACCTCACAAACACTAATAGCCTATATGCGGTGATGCATGCAACACAGGTTTGTTTTGAACGAAACAGCACAGAAGAGTGCTGACTTCATGTGTCTATATTCTATATTAGAGCATCTCAGAACGAACACAAGTCTCATTTTAACATTATAGCGCCTCCTGCTGGACACTGACTGACAGCAACACAAAACACTTTAAAACGGTGCTTCTCAACCAGGCGGCTCGATTTAAAATGATTTAAAATATGACAAAACAACCACTGAAATCAGCTAAATTAACTAGAAGTCAAATATTGCTCATTTGAACTCATCCTCTCAAAAAGCACCAGGATTCCTATCATCATTAAAAACCTGGAAGCCTCGTTTTACACATTTTTAAGTCTGGGAAAAGTCATGAGAACTAATAAAATATTTAATGAATGAAAATTTTTTGAAGATACCTTTTTTTTTTTTTTTTTAAATGCCAAGCTCTAAAATGTTTAATTGGATAGAAATTGTGAGTAAAAATATTTTTTATATTATTATAATTAATATATTAAAAAATATATAATTTTTATATTATTTAAATCATTATAAAAACGAAAGAAAATTAAACATTTTATATATATATAATAGTATTTTACATTTTTCTCACAATTTGGATGGATGGATGGATGGATGGGCTTACAGTAGTTGCTTTCATTGAGATTTTTAACCATCAGCATCACCTAAACCTTCGAAATCAACTGCATTACTCTGAATCCAGTGGCATTATAGAGCTCATTTTAAGATGACAGAAGCTACAGTCGCAGCTCTGGGTTTATAAATGCTGCACAAATGCATCAGTAAAAGTGTGGCTTGCATCGCTCTGGTAGTTTTCTGTATGTCAGCACTCTCCTATGCAAATATATGCAACTAAAACTTCAGGGAAAAAGGCCGAGAAATATTGATGACATGATCCTGCACACAAGCCATTCCATTAAAATGCTCTTTATGGTATTTATATTAATATTTACAATGCATGACGGATTATTAATGCTTAATCCAATTTCAAAACAGCGAATTTGAATGCATTCATCAGCAAAGTCCAGAGCGGTGTTTTAGTGTCCCGTCAAGAGAATGTGACGCGTCCCACAGAGGAATAGTATCCCGTGCTGTCAGTGGAGAATCTCTGAGAGATCTGCACCGAATTCAGCTCAAACGCGCCGAAATAAACCTCGCCGAACATCTGTGGAGAAACAGAGTCTCAGTTTAGGCTCACGGCTTCACGCTTCATTTACAAGCATATTATTATTCAGGGTGAAATTCATAAATATTTGCATGACAGAATCAGCCGTTACTATGGAAACCAGCTGAGGGAGGATTCAGAACTGACACTTCAGAGCGATTTAATGGCATAAACAGCAAACTCCCTCGCATGTGCACAGTGTGTTCGGTCACACGCTCCAGAACCAGAGAGCAGATGTTCAAAGAAAGAGCGAATTAAGTTGTTTACATCAACTTTCATTTGATTCCCAGAATGATTTTGACCATATAAAGGAGCAGAAGTTCTGAGAAAGCAGGCGTAGCCTCTTCTGGACGGGACAAGCTGCTCCTGCTCTAAAAAAAACAGCCCGAGTGTGAGTGTGAGTGTGAGTGTGAGTGTGTGTGTGTGTGTGTGTGTGTGTGTGTGTGTGTGTG